AGAACTTTTTTATTTTAAAAACAAACAAGCAAGCCCCTGTCCAGATTTAAAAAGTAACGCAAAAGTAACGTAACACATTACTTTCCATAAAAAGTAACTAAGTAACGTAATTAGTTACTTTTTTAATGGAGTAACGCAATATTGTAATGCATTACTTTCAAAAGTAACTTTCCGCAACACTGGTCATTATGCATGTTTGGGCTAAGTTTTTTTGCATGTACATATTTTGACCAGTAGGTGCCGCCAGCCTGTGGTGTTTCCAGGACGTTGAACCAGTGAATCATTTTACGAAGCAATTGATTCAGTTGATTCCAAGCTTCAAAAGGCTTTGTTTCTCCCATCACTAACAGGTCTTGTTATTGGCCCTTTGTTCACATACAGGGTGTCAGAACGTCTTTCTAGTGGATTTGGAGAGAGTTGTGTGAATGGTTGTGCAGGAGAGGGAAAGAATAAAAGCATAGCTGCCCCATAGAGTGCCTGTCTCTCCCACCCCCATGCTGAATGTATGAAGTCTCTTGTGCTGCAAGCGCTATATATGTACTGGTACTGAACGCCTTGTTTGATTATTATTGTTTTAGTTTTTTTTTTTAATATACATTTGTATTTGCAGGTAATTTGGAAGCTGTATAGTGGTTTAGAGTCAGTTTTTGTACAAGATGTCCAGCACGTGTTTTTTCTACTCGCTTTCAATTTGGCTGAAATCTCACTGTTGTGACTGCACCCATGGTTCACATTGTTTTGAACATGAACAGAAACTAGTGATGGGCGCTTTCGAAACGATCCTTCAGGAAGCTTGGTAACATTTACGAATCTTTTGTTTCGAATCACTGGTTCGGAGCTTGTATCAAACTCGCCAAGTCATGTGATTTCATCAAACGAGGCTTTATGTCAAACTCTTTCGAACCTTGATTTCAAAACGTAAAAATTCAGATGCTGTTGATCTAGTGAAACTGTAAATGGTTTTTAACTGATCTTGGGTTAGTTTTATAATGTAGGTTAATTTGTATTTAATTTTAAGGAAATTTTTTTTTCTTTAATACTTTTTGTGTGTATAATACAATAAGAAAAATGATACTTAATTGCTTCTAATTGAACTAGTTTAAAAACATGGATTAAAAAATAATAAAACACAAATTTGAAAGTACCTTCATATTTAATTATTTGTGACCCTGGAGCACAAAAGCAGTCTTAAGTCGCTGGGGTATATTTGTAGCAATAGCCAAAAAAACATTGTATGGGTCAAAATTAACGATTTTTCTTTAATGCCAAAAATCATTAGGATATTAAGTAAAGATCATGTTCCATGAAGATATTTTGTAA